CTAAAATAAATAAAAGAAATATATTGTAGAAAAGAAATATATGTTATAGATGACATAAATGATATAAAAGACATATACGATTTCTTAGGGATCGATGTCATCTTTTAGATCATCATCATCCATGTCTTCTTTCGTGTAATAATATGACAAATCTAATAAACTTTATTTCATCTTTTTATGATCATTAGATATTAAAATACTATAATTTTTTATAATATTTTATAGTTAATTTTATATCTATGCTTTAAGGAATAATCTATTATTTTTAATATTAATTAATTATAGAAAATCAAATAAGTAATTTATTTATGAATTATAATTTAAATAAATTTATAATATAAACTTATTATTTATACTAATATTATAAATTTTTATTAATTAAAATAAATTAAATATATTTATGTAAAGCTTATTATATTTATTTTTTATTTTCTATTATATATATTATAAAAATTTTTATTAAATTTTTAATGAATTTGTTTATTTTTATAATATAATTTAAAAATTTTGACTTAAATTTAAATTTTAACTTAATATATTTATCTTAATAATTTAATTAACATTGAAATTTTAAAATATTTGTTTAATATAAAAATTAAAAGAATTTAACTCTAATTCAATATATAAATAAAAGTTAATTGTAAAATAGATTCTAAAATCATTTAATTTAAATAAAGTCTATATATTATGATTAAACTAAAAATTGCATTTATAATTAATAATAGTTACGGCATTAATAATTTGAAAATCGAAGAAATTTAAAATCACGTGATATTGATATTCATGTCGATTACTTTATTAGGAAAAGAGATATGCCTCTTTCTCATTCCACTTAATACAACCAATCATATTGTTAGGCTTGGATTCATATTTTAAAGAATTTTAGAAGATATAATTCTTCGAGAGGACAAACGAGAATTAAAGAAAAACATCTGTTAGAAACATTAACAATTTACCTTATCGTCTAATAACAAGACTTTCACAAAATAACGAATTACTTTTAAAAATTCTTTGAAGGCAAAGCTTTTGTTTCTCATTATCACGTTCAACCCATAAAGACATCGCGCGTACACGAGAAAGAATAAAAACACCATTTCTTTAGACAGTTCCTGAATCAATTTAAAAGATTCGGTGTATCAACCTCTCGTCGAAAAATATTGAAACAAACTACTAAGTCCCTACATAAGAGAATATTTAAACAGGTTATTACTTGTGCAATAAATATTTTTTTTTTTTTTTAAAAAAAAAGGAATACTAAATATTTTTTTATTGGTTTTTCTTAGAATAAGTTTGAATAAACCTTCCAAATGAAATGCATATACGAAGATTCATACGGTGCCATGGAGAAAATTCCAGTATTTAAACCTACGTATGAGCAATTCAAGGATTTTAAGGCATTTATAATGGCAGTTAGACCTTATGGCATGAGATCAGGAATTGTGAAAGTAATTCCACCAAAAGAATGGTAAGTATCTGTAAATTATTTTACGTGTCATTTTTGTTATTTGGTCGTGTTCCTAGAAGCGTTACTTACAGTTATATACACCTATTTTTATATTTTTATATATTTAGGAATGATAAACTTCCAAAGGATCTTTCGGCACAATTGGAAAAAATTGTTATTGATAATCCGATTAAACAAGAATTTACGAAGGTTGACGGCAAATGTAGGGTCAAAAACATGGATACAAATGCAAATTTCTCTGTAAAACAATGGGCAAAGTTATGTAGTCATCCTGATCATGCCACCCCTATATACGAATCTCATTTTTTACCGACAAAATTAACTAAAAATGTTGGAAAAAAGAGAAAATTTTCTTTGGATAACAAGGAAGCTTCTCAATTAAAATCAGACTTTCATTATGCTAATAAGTCTCCAAGATCAGATAATACATCTAAATCACGTGATTTAACAGTCGGTGAAAAAATTACGGAAGTCACACGTGACTCGGAACCTGTTACTACATTCCAAAATGTTCGAACAGACATTCATGTTAATGAATCTGATGGTTGTGAGACTGAAGATGAAGTAGAAGAAGTTCTTTTAACTTCTGAAAATATGTCTAGCACATCCATGAATATTACTAAAAATATATTTGAACAAGTACGGCCCAAAAAAGTTGAAAAAGTTGAAAAGGTTGAAAAATCTAACAATCAATTAAAGTCAAAATGGAGCTACAAGGCAGTAACTCGAGAACTTCCATTTGGCAACGAGGATTATATAAGAGATCTTGAACATAAGTATTGGAAAAATTTGGCTTATTTTTCTCCATATTATGGAGCCGACTTGGATGGTAAACTGAATTTTTATAAACTAAATTTCCAATAGGAATTATAAATAAAAAGTTTAAATTTTAATAATCTCTACTTCGATAGGTTCTCTTTTCACTGATTCAACTACTACATGGAATGTCAATAACATTGATAACCTTTTGAATTTAATGGATCCAATTCCTGGCGTAAATAAAGCGTATCTATATTTTGGAATGTGGAAAGCTTCTTTTGCTTGGCATGTCGAGGTAAGTTTCTAAATAGATTTACATATTTGCATTAAATCATTATAATGAATTTTCGGTAATAAACTATATAGGACAAAGATCTTTATTCGATCAACTACATTCATTTCGGTGCTCCAAAATTTTGGTATGCTATATCTCCTCAAAAATCTGCTACGTTTGAGCAAAAGATGAAAGGTAAGTTTTTTTTTTCATATCGTGCCTTTTTTTTGTATTGTTATTTATATGGTTACACAAAGTCGTGTAACAACTGATAAACAAAAAAACTTTTCCATCATAAATTTTAGAATACATTAAATATTTAATAAATTCTTTAAAATTTTTTGAATTGTAACTTTCTATTTCTTACAAGATTTTAAACCATTTTATTTTTTAAAAATAAATAATTCAAAAAAAAATTTAGGATGGTTTCCTGGGTATTTCTACGAGTGTTCGGAATTCTTACGTCACAAGGAATTCATGGCATCACCTGAACAACTTAGGAATGGCATCATGCCATTTGGAAAAGTGGTTCAAAGAGAAGGGGAGTTTATAATTACATTCCCTCGTGGTTATCATGCTGGGTTTAACATGGGATTTAATTGTGCAGAAAGTGTAAATTTTGCCTTTGAAGATTGGATTGAAATGGGTATTAAGGCTAAATCATGTGAATGTAATCCCGATAGTGTTACTATTGATGTGAATGGTCTTTTTGGACACTTGTTGAAACAGCCTATTTCAGAAGGTACATGTCCAATCGATAAAAGTATAGAAGCTTCAGTTATCGAATTGCCATCTCGTCCACTTCAAAAAATAAAAGGATCGCGGAAAATGGCCTCTTCAAATACGCCAATTGCGATGGACCTGGATGGACCGGTAACTTTAATGTATCCCGAACATAGTTACGTATCGCCATCACCTGATTCCGATATGATCGCATCATTAGCAAATAGAACAAGGATTGGTTCACATTTTAAGAGTCAAAACCGGGAACATAGAATGATGAACTCACCGCGCGAAGTTAACAAGATGAAATCTCCACGTAAAAAGAATTCACTAGATAAACTTGTTATGGTCAATAATGAAATTTCATTTTCTAAAGTAGAAAAAATGGAGACTAATGAGAATGGTCATATTGATCATAATAAAATGGATAAGGTTGAAACCAAAAATTGCAATTATACCGATAGAGTAACGTTGTTTTATTTGTAGTCCATTTGTATGTTTATAAATCTATTAATATACTAACCAGATTAATTATGACTTTTATTTAATCAGTGTGCTTTATGTCCGGTTGTCG